CGATCCCGCAGGCCAGGCCGAGGGACCCCACTGGTGCACGAATTCGTACACCAGGCCTCTAGTTTAAAATAATAACATCTCCCATCAATTAAGATGGAAAAGTATCTTCTTAAAGCATATTTTAAAAACAAACCCTTTGGGCATTAATAACGGCACTAGTCTATTACTCAGGCAGCGGTTGGGCTATGCAATCTTGGTCTTTTTGCTGACTCAGAGATGTCCGATGACCATCGTAATTTCGGTGAACTTCCTGGGAAGGTGGAAATATTCTCCGTCTGCAATGTAACCACAGGTTGCTGCCATTGAGTCTTGAAATGTGTCTGTTGCGAATGAGAAACCGATTTTAAAATTTTACTTGATTTTAATTAATTTAAACTTAAATGGCCATATGTGGCCAATGGCTAAAACATTAAACACAGGAAACTACAAAAAGATGTCAAATGGCCGCCCTAAGAAGAACGTAAGTAGCTTCCACCCTCTAGGATTCCACCCCATCTCAGGGCCTCGTTAATGCAGGCAGGCGGGGGTATTTTCTCAAAACTCCAGGGACCTGCAGTTGTGGTTTTTGTTTAAATTTTGTTTCACTTAACTAATTATTGTAATGTTGGATATTGGAATTTACAATCTGTTTTCTCTCCTTTTTTCCCCCTTTTTCTCTTAAAACTTAGCATGTGGTCAGTTAGTTCCGTGTAGCTGAAATGCTGTTATAAACAAGTCTCTTGAACTATGGAGTTTGAGTGCCGTTCAAATGTGTGGAATCTTAGAAAACTACGGATAAACTGACACAGCAAAGGCAGGCAAAACCGATGCCACTGAAGTTAGCAGCACTGGGGAGCGGGTGGCGGGCTGTCTGAACAAGACTGAAACCTCCCCCAGCACTAAGGCTGGGTGAGGGGCAGGGGCGGGGCCGAGGGTCAGAGGGACAGAGGCTGGGCTGAAGGGCAGAGCCTGTGCACTGAGCTCCTGCTGCCCTTCAGGTGAGGGCCCACTGCCCTCCACCCGATCCAGCTCGCCCCCCTTGCGCTCTGTAAGCCCCTGGGCAACCTTCCTTTCCGCCTGGGCTGCACTGGCCTTTGGCCCTTCGCTAGGCTGACCGCATCCTTTGTGAACTAACCTGTCCCGCATCTGCCTGGACAGTCGGGGATGCCTCCCGGCTCCCTCCTGAACGCGGTCTTAGCACATCATCAGAATGCAAACCCAGCGCTTGTGTTTAAAAATAAATACGAGGAGGTTTCCATTCTCTTAGCGGGGAATGCCCCGGGGACACGTAAACCCCCAGCATCACCGGGTGCAGGAGGGCGAACGAAGCA